AAAAAAAAAAAATCTATCATCAACACCACAATACACTACCATTCCACTCCATCGAGACAAAGAATCTCTTCACTAAACCAATAACAGTACAACCATCATGAGCTCCTCCATCCTCTCCTCTCCTCTCATCTCCACCACCGTCTCCGGCAGCTCCTCCTGACTCCCACACCTTCCTCCTCCTCCTTCTTCTCATCCTTATCCTCATCTTCCCCTTGCTCCACCTTCCTTCTCCTACAGACAACCCTAATATGAGTAACCTTGAAGACTCCCTAAGATCTCTCTCCTTAGACTACCTCAACCTCCTCATCAACGGTCAGGCCTTCTCCGATGTAACCTTCAGCGTGGAGGGTCGTTTGGTCCACGCCCACAGATGCATCTTAGCTGCCCGGAGCTTGTTCTTCAGGAAATTTTTCTGTGGACCTGACCCACCATCCGGGCTTGACCCAGGCGCTTCCCGGATGAACCCGGCGTCGGTGGGGTCCAGGCCAGGGGTTATACCGGTGAACTCGGTGGGGTACGAGGTGTTCCTTTTGCTGCTGCAGTTCTTGTACAGCGGTCAGGTCTCGATTGTGCCTCAGAAGCATGAGCCCAGGCCTAATTGTGGGGAGAGAGGGTGTTGGCACACGCATTGCACCTCCGCCGTTGATCTCGCCCTTGAAACTCTCGCGGCCGCGAGATACTTCGGCGTTGAACAGCTCGCATTGCTTACCCAGGTTTAATTCACTACTTTCCTCACCGGCCACGATGATATCAAACTCTTTTGTGCCTTTCGGGTTTCTCTAAATGTAAAAATTTTATTCAGGGCGGAGTTGGAGGAATCTGATTTGTATTTTGGGTATTGGGATGTTAAACCGTTTTGATTTTTGAGAAGTGTGATCAAATTGTTTAGGGGTTTCCATCTTTTTTAATCACAACTAATATTTTTTTTAAGAGAATTTGTTTTCATTTTGATCCCAATTTCAAGTGGGTTTTTAGATTTTGCTACCTCCATCGATTTCCCCTTTGAAGTGGAATTGGGTTTGGATCTTTTCTCCACTTATGTATCTAGTACTTTCTCTTTTTCTGAAACACAAATCTTCCTTTTCAGTTTTCTACTAAAAGCACTTTGATTTCCCATTATTAATCCTTTCAGCTTTCTCCTCCATCTTGACTTCTTGTTTCCACTCTTCACATGGTCAAAAATCCTTTGTTTTTCTTGGTCTGTTGATATTTCTGTTTTATTTGTTTTATATATAACAAACTCTTTTTTGGTTTGTTGAATTTGGTTCTTCATCTAACTTCTGGACAACCAAAAGACTTTCTAAATTTAGATCTTGATGATCTCTTAGTCTTTTCTTTACACAGTAAGCACCCATCCATTTCCCAAAACTACTACACAATTTTTCCGCCATCCAAACACGGCTTCTACATTAATTAATCAGAGATTTTCAAAAAAATTATGAATTCTAGAGATATGTTTCATATGTTTGTCCAAATACGATCAATATTTTCTTGTGTTTTAATTTTTAACAGAAACAATTGGCAAGCATGGTGGAGAAAGCTTCCATTGAGGATGTAATGAAAGTGCTGATAGCTTCAAGAAAGCAAGACATGCACCAGCTTTGGACAACTTGTTCTCACCTCGTCGCCAAATCCGGCCTCCCGCCGGAGGTCCTCACCAAACACCTCCCCATCGAGGTCGTTGCCAAAATCGAGGAGCTTCGCCACAAAACCTCCTTTGGCCGCCGGTCTTTGTTACCCCATCACCATCAATATCACCATGACCTCACAGTCGCGGCCGAACTTGAGGACCAGAAAATCAGGAGAATGAGAAGAGCGTTGGACTCATCCGATGTGGAACTGGTCAAGCTTATGGTAATGGGGGAAGGTCTAAATCTTGATGAAGCTTTGGCGTTACATTACGCAGTGGAAAACTGTAGCCGGGAGGTTGTTAAAGCATTGCTGGAGCTTGGTGCGGCGGATGTTAACTACCCGGCGGGACCTGCAGGGAAGACGCCGCTGCATATTGCGGCGGAGATGGTGTCTCCAGATATGGTTGCTGTACTTTTAGATCACCACGCAGACCCTAATGTAAGAACCGTTGATGGGGTCACTCCACTGGACATTCTCCGAACCCTAACCTCAGATTTCTTGTTCAAAGGTGCGGTCCCGGGGCTAACCCACATCGAACCAAACAAACTAAGGCTTTGTCTTGAGCTAGTTCAATCTGCGGCTTTGGTTATTTCCCGAGAGGAAGGCAGTGTAAATGCGGCGGCCTCAACCACCATTTATCCATCCATGAACGAAGAACATAACAGCAGCACTGGCGGAAGCGGTGGAACCAATCTTGCTAACCTTAATTTGGATTCAAGATTAGTCTATCTTAATCTTGGTGCTACAGGTTCAGCGCAAATGGGATCGAGAATGGAGGGTGACGAAGATAGCAGCCAAAATAGCCGAACTGAAGCAATGAGGAGACATGAACCAACCATGTACCATCACCCTCATGAGTTCTAAGCTTCTCCAAATATCCCTTTTCTCTCTTCATATATCTCTTTATATGCATATTAAGACAGGAAAAATAGGAGCTCATGATCAAAACTAGATTATCGGATCGTGATATATATTTTTTTGTCATTGCTATGCTTTCACTTAGGTGGTATATTTAGCGATTATAGATATTTGAACACCTGATATTTGTGGCAGAATTAAGATTTTCACATGAATGGTTTCTCTCATTCCTCTTCCTCTTCCCCCTCCTCTCGGTGGTTTTTGTAGGTTTTCATGGACATGATTTGAAGTGAAAGTTATTCATTGGAGATTGGAGATGGAATTTTATTTTTTTGCTCAAAGGATGAGACAAGGAGAATCTGAGATTTGGTGTGTGTTTAGGGGTGATGGAGGGAAGACGCAGGTCAATCTTTTCAAAACACCGGCCTGTCAACTCCTTTGTATTTATTGATGGCTTCCCTATTCATTCTGTCCTTCTATTTTTCTTGTCCCCCCACCCACTTTTTCTTCACACACACACACCCAAACCCAGCTTATTAAGATTAGAATAAATGTTGCTTAGATTGAAGATCTTGGAGCCTAATGGAGGTGGGGTTTCTTGGTTTTTCTTGGGCTTTGTTTGGACATGGGTCTCTACCTTTTTCTAATGAATGAAATGAGCTGTCTTTCTACATTTTTTTCCTTCTCCAGCACCTCATGAAGACTTTTGGAGAAACTTGATTGGGTACATTGTGTATTTTTGGTAAATTATTTAGAAGAGATGATGTGAGTATAGACAAATTGATTGGTTGTCTTGCATGAAGCCAACATTGAGTGTGACCAGACAGGTCAGTTTAATAAATTTTAGTTTATCTAAATCTGGATTCCCTTCAAGTAATCCTTCCCTTTTGTCCCCCTTGCCATTTTAGCTTCCCTCTATTACCTCCCAAAGAAACTAACAGTTAAAGCCAATGCATTGCTTATAACTATTGGTTTACTTAATTTCAATATTGCTTCATTTCTTTTATCATAGAGTTGGTATACTTTAGTGTTTTTCTAATGAAATTGGAACCTCTGTTTTTTATTACAAGATCGAAGTCTAAGAATTAGTGAATACCAACTCTTTAACGCTAAGCACTAGCTTGATATGTCTTGTTATTAAAACATATATTGTTGCATCTATAACTTGTTTTGATCATTAGTTCTCTTTATTTAAGCTACATGTTTAACTATTTATTAATAATCGGGTACTATAATATATCTTCTATCCATGATAATTCCTCAAAAATACAGATGTTGCTTGAATGTTGAATTTATATACTAACATTTGGAAGCTTTGCTTGGTATTTTAATTTTCTCCTATAACCTAAATGTTACTATGTTAAAATTCTTCCATGGTTGATATTATATGTTTCCTATTTGATTAATATGTATGCATGCTTCATATATATCATGCATGGTAATATTGCTTCCAAATTAGTTTATATTAATTGTGCATAATATTTTTTTTGGACTGTATGCATGCATGCATAATATTGTTTAATCTCGACCATCTAATGATTAATGATAAATTAATACCTTGTATACAAATTTATTTATCTCTTGGCCAATTCTCAGTCTATTATATTAATAACAGCAAACATTTTCAGAAAAACCAGAAATGAAATCGATTCAACCTAATGGTTGTTTTTTCTTAATTTTCATTTATTAATTATGCATAGTCAAATAAGTAAAATTTGATGCCAAAACAATCCCACATTATTAGGTTTTCCTTCAATTTACTTGATTTGTATATTATTCATAAGAAACAAATATTTAGATTTTGATATAATGTTATTAAACAAACACATGTACTTATTCGATTGATAATATTATGTGAAACTTTTATTATATTAATGTCATTATATAAAAATTATTATACATTTATTTATTTAATATCATTTTTTTTTTGTAAAGATTTGTTTTGAGATAATAGTCTCTGTATCAACAAAATGCACAAAATAAGAAGAAATACATTAATTTGAGAATAAGATTTTGTTTGATTTAATCAAAAGTGCATTTTATGTCACAGGACTTCTTCTATACAGGACATAGTAAATATTTTTAGTACAAGTTTAGGGGTACATATCAAATCATTCTCTTTCTTTTAGGGGGGGTAAATACATCAAATCATTCTAGACTTTCTAGTGCATGAGATGTTGGAAATTGGACATGAACATTATCTCTAGCAAACCTACGAGTTCTAAAGATGAAAAACAAAAAGTTAAAAGAAGCGACTGAAGAAAATTTGAAGAGGTCGATCTGTGGCTATGAGATAATACTGTCTTCCTATATGCCCCCCATTCTTGGAAAAGTAACTCAGAAGAAGTTCAAGAAGAAGGTGAAATTAATTTGTTCTCGAGTTCCGTTGAGTTTTCTCTAGGTCCCCATCTCTATTTTCTCATAGTCCTACTCCTAGCTCTAATAAATGAGCTAGATATAAATGTACCTTGAAGACAAAGTGAGGGCAAGCGAGATAAAACAAATCGAACATGGGAAATTACTGAGAAGAAGGGAACAGAGTTACTTTTACTTTTGATTGTGTATAATAGTTAATTGGTAAAATATCAAAAGATTTTTTAATTTATATTTTAGGATGCAAGTTAATTGTGTAATTAATGTATTTTTAATCATTAAATCATATAAAAAATACAAATATTGATATTAATTTTAATAATAATGTCACGTGTATATTTTTTTTTGAAACGATGTCACGTGTATGTTTTTAAATAGGTTAGTTAATATAATTAAAGTTAGCTTCTTTTTTTTTTCTGGCTGTGTAACTCTATTAAAGGATGTATTAATTGTACTTTAAAAAACACATGTTAGAAAAACGAAGGAAAAATAACTCTGGGGGACCTTATTGCAACAAATAAAAGGTTCAGGAGCTTATCGGGTCAATTTTGAGCAGGTAGGATTTAGTAACTACCTTTGTCACAAATACTCAGGATTGATAGGCTTAACTCCGAGGCACCCTTCAACTCATTGCCTTTGAGAACTTTAGCCCCAACATATAATATAAGTATGTTAGCTCGGAGAGTATACGTCCTCAAGACAACTGGCTGAGTCGATGCCACATAAGCTCAAAATGCGGATGTGGCATGTCATGCATGGCATATGAAATTATGAATCCAACATTAATTTAATTTTTTTTAAAAAATTAACAAAAATGATCAAGAGACAATATTTTCTTATAATTTTTGTCATTTAATTATGATTTTTTTCACTCTACTGAGTTGTAATATTTTATATACCTATGTTTATCTTCTTGTAATTTCTTTTATTAATTTAATTATTTTACCTTGATTTGATTTAATTATGAAATTAATTTTTTGAGTTCAAATTAAGGGTGGTGTTATAAATAAAATTTTTTTATATCATTTTTTAATACAGCTTTTATATGTTATTAAATGAGTAAATTAATTTAATATCACGAATCTCAAATAAATAAATAAAAAAATTATTTAAATAGTATATAAGGTTATATTAAAAAGTGATACATAAAGATTATTTCAAAATCATTTTCTTTAAATTAACGTGTGATACACATGTCAAGTCAGCATTATGAGCTTATGTGGTGCTGACAAGGCATGGGGTAACGGAAGATGGACGGTTTCCATCCATTTTGGGTCAATTCCCTTAATGACGTGCACTTTACGGACCAATATACTTATATTGTATGTTGAGGACAAAGGTCTCATATACAATAAGTTGAAGGGCCTCCAGGGGAATATGTCGAATTTATGGGATTCGGCAAATCATGTGTCAGCCTCAGCCAAGATTTTCAATTTATTTGTATACATGTCAATATGTCATGTTTCTTAAAGGATAATTCTTGATTAAAAACTTAAGCAGTAGAAGTTTTAATTTAAATCTTGATATAGATGAAAGAGATAGATTATTTTTTATTTTAAAATAAATAATAATTAAATTTTTTATACATAATTTTTATTAAGTAGTTTTTTTATTAAAAATAATTATTATTTATATATTATAAAAAAATATGATATAAAAATACATATAAAAAAATCAAACAACTTTAATTTTGAAATGAAGGGAGTATTGTATTATATAACTTATCATTTTCGTAACACAAAATAATAAAAGGAAAAATAATTTTGTTATCAAATGAGATTTGTTTTCATAAACATTATGCATTTGGTAAATTAATAATCCTATCTTTATCAAACTTTGAAATTAAAAGCTACATAGGATATAAAAAAAAAATGGTGACTAACAACGTGTAAATTTTGAGGCCCATATGTCTCTTTCTCTACCCATCTCTAAGCTTTGCGTCTTCAAACAACCTTTGCTTGTTCTTTTGAAGGGAACATCTCATGGTGGATTCTGCAAAAAAAAGCAAAATGATGATTGTTGGTTGAATTTATCTCCGACCAATCCTAAAGTGCTTTCCCATTAAGAAAATTTTTACAATTCTCAAGAAAATTGCACATTTCTGGTTGGTAAGTGAAAACTTCATCATAATTTTTTGGATTATTATATATAAAGTATGAATTTACTTATACATAAATTTTACATATTATATTTATATAAATTTCAATCATTTATTTCTTTATTTCAATGGGTGAAATTTATTTATTTTTTATAAAAAATAATTATTTTTAATAAATATAAATAAATTTTAACTATTTAAAGTGCAGAGATAAATGGTTGAGAATTTGTACAAGAATAATATGTAATAGTTATGTGTAAATAGATTTATGCTCTTTTTCTATATATATCTATATCTGTCTATATATTTTTGTGTATAAGATGATTGGTTATACAATAAAAATAATCTCTCCTTCCTAAACTCTTATTCACTGATATTAAAATTTAAATTTAAAATTTTTAATATAAAAATTTAAGTTTTAAATTATTGAAACATCGACTTGAATTACTATATAATGCAAGGGAACGCCCTCCTCCAGCAAAAGTAAGATTCAATTTTAGGTTCTAAATACAATGATCAAAAAGTTTTTTTCTAACTGGTTAACACCTTGAAACTTTTTTTTTTTTTTATTTCAAAATATTTGATGTTTTAGGGAAAATTTTTTAGGCCTGCTGAGTGCACTTTTCTTATAGGTCTTTTTCTTCTTTTAATTTTTTATTTTTATTTTTTCAAAATTGCACTTGGGCCAATCATAACCCAATTGCAGCTAGCATTTCTGTATTTTGTTTCAAAACATTTCACCTTCCTAGAAAACCAATCTACCATTAATTTTTAATATCCACTTTTTCCCTTTACTAACCTGCATAAAATATAGTAGGTTGAAATTTTTTTCTTTTCGATTCTAGGTTGCAGTAATCCTTTCCATCTCTTTACTTATTCACCCATTAATATTATTACAACTTGAATATATGATTTCATGTTTAATTTTAACGGGAAATTTCTACCGATTAAGCCATTTAAAGCATGTTTGGAGTGCCGGATAAATGGTGGGATTGGACAAGTTCTTTTTCTTGTCCCACTATAGCCAACGTTTGGGAGGGTAAAAAGATTTGATAACCTATTTATCAACTCTTATTCTATTCTAACGACATAAAATCTATCCCTCTTTTCCCTTAGGATTAGATGGAATAAAGTTAAAATTTCCCTTTTTTACCCCTCAGCCTAACTCCTCATCTCTCCTGATTATCTGGTGCTTTCCATCTTCCCAACGATTCTCTCTCTTTGCCGGCGTTGTTCACCGGCTCCGATCATAGCACACCATCAATAACAAGTAACGCACAATGTATCTGATGCTCTTTAGCTTCCTTTGCACCTCACCCCTCTTCTTCGCGCCGATGATCTTGTGGCCTCTCTCCGTGGCTGCCCTCGATTTTCTCTTCTAGGGATATGTTTGGAGTGATGACCCTTTTTTTTTTTTAATTTATCATCCACAAGAAATTATGGAGGAAAAAAAAAATAAAGAACTATTTGATATAATAATTTGAAACTAATAGTTATAATTTCATTTAATTTAGTGGTAGATAATTTTTATTATAAATAATTGAGAGACTTTGTTCATTAGATTAGATAATACTGATTTTGTTTAATTTGATGGTTAATAATTATTATTATAAATAATTCAAACACTTTTGTTTATTTAATTAGAAAAAACTACAATCACTATACCAAATAACCCCTTCCAAAAGTCTGTCCGTAACTGCATACTTTGATTTCAGTCTTTATATTTCATAAGAGACAGGAATTTGTTAAATACAAGTGTCAAATTAATGAGACGTGTTTGGGGAGAAAATACTTAATACACACCTTGCATAAATGGTTTCAGGGACTACTATGGGCTGATTCAAAACTGAACTTGTGCAGAAGGTTTGACCATACAAAATGGGCCGTTGTTTTCGCGGCCCTGGTTAAAGCCAGACCATTCAAAACGAAAATAGATAAACTCAAAAGAGATTATCTTCTTTATCATAACATCTCCAAGAATCGAATCTTAATATATAAAGCAAATCCATTTTGCCAAGAAATTTTCAAAAGGAATATTAAAAGTAGTATGAACATATATCAGAATGCACCAGATGCCTTCCTTTTGGTGCTGTCTTTCATATTCATGAAACTAGAGTATATATTCTAACAAAAAAAAGTATTGTGTAGTTCAAATTCAAACTCTATCAAACCATACAATATAAACCATTGGATGAGAGGCAAACCCCTTAATTTTTTCGGTTTCCGTCTGGTATCCGGGGACTTCATCCCGACTAATCTGGACCCGACCCGCGTCGCGCACCTAGAAATGGTGGGTGAGTCTCCCAGCGGGGCTGCTGCGTTTACAAGGTCTCGAACTCGAGGCCTTGCTTAAGCTGGAACAAGTCGCTTACCACTTGATCCAACCCCTTGTTGGTGGCAAACCCCTTAATATTAGAGACTATCCTCTTATCTAATGATTTTTATTTTGTAATTTGGATTGCAAAACATGATACTCATATTCTCAAGACAAGTAACAAATACGCGTGGGACTTCAATTAGCTAACACTTTTTGATTCTCTTTCCACAAGTAAAGCATCAGAATCTACCCTTTTTTTTAAAAAAAATCTCTCCTTTATTCCATTTTTTACTTTCCCCTTGTCAAATTCTTAACTAATAAGGTGGAGAGTCCTGGCATTCTACAATTCTATCAATGTGCTATGGCGAACTCCTTTTTATTAGTATTACAGTATTAAACTTTTAACCTATCACAGGATTTCCTGCCGACTAAAACTACATATATATACACTCAGAGAGATCTAGAGAGCATTCAAGACAGTTCATATTGTTTTCTCTTCCAGAATGACAAAGTCAGAGGCACAAGGCAACCAACCTCCAGCAGGTTCCAATCGCTCTTAACATGTCCATTCTGATTATTAATTTCATGCCTCTAGATATGAGAACTCACGTTCATCCCTATCTTTGTTTAAAGGGTATCCTACTGATAATCCTTCCACTGGGAAGAAGAGGTGGTTTGTGCGTAGGAAGAATAAGGGGGAGAGAGGCTTCATTGAGGGATGGTAAGTTCATTCTCCTATCACTCTCAGAATTATTTTACACAGAGGTAGAAGGGTAGATGATACTCTACATACAGACTACAGTTTCTTTCAAGAAAAATGTTGCCTTTCTAATTTCTACTTCAACTACCATGAGAAACTAGCTGGAAACTGATGACTTCTTTCTTTTTTTCTCCATTTATTTTTATTTCTATTTTTTAAATTATCATGCTTCGTGTTGCAGCCTCTTCGCTCTATGTTGCTGTTGGCTCTGCGAAGGATGCCTCTTTTGAACAATGATTATAAGTATTATCACTATTGTGATGTTTCCCGTTGGTTTTGCCCGATGTATGGCTTAAATTGGGAGTGCTGTGCCATGGTTATAGGTGTTTTTGTGTTTCCCATCTCAAAAAAATAAAACATATATTAAAATTAATTATTTAGGATAAAAATTATATTTTTAGATAATGTGTTGTGAGAAAAAGTATTGTATACAACACTCCTAGACGAAGCCTATATTGCATACAGATACAGTTTGTTTGTTCTTGTTATCACTACTAATTTATATGTATGATTATAACTCGTAATTAAGAAAATATAACAGTTTTTTGATAGCATGAGTCTAAAACTTGAGAAATTCTTCCAAGGGAATACCCCGTCACCTATATCTCCGTCTACCATTATAGTGAGACATTAGCATGTATGGCCTCTATTTACAATTAAAAAGATTGATTTATTACAAGAATTGATATTTAATTGCAAGTTGCAGCCACACATCAGTATGTGTCGCTACATTGATAGATGAGATATCGCTGATATAATATCCTTTTGTATGAAAGAATTTCTTCTGGACTTTTGGCCCAACTAAGTAAAACATATCGGTTTAAAATTAAAATCTACATAGGAACCTAGACAGATCTTAAATACCTTCTGGCTACAAACGTATTCAAATGTGCTAAAGGTTTGGTTTCCTGAATTCTTTTTCTTGACTGTTCAAAGGTTCTGGAAGTAGCTAGCTTCGAGCTAGAGCTGGATAAGCTTGGAAGTAGCTCGATGGTCTTAAAAAAATAAACAAATTATACACACAAACGCACACAAACTCACAAGCACTCACAAGCTACTCTATGAGCTGCACGAGCACGCTTTTGAGCAATTGAGCTCAGGTACCCAATACTTGGCTTGACTAGACTCTGTTTACAACCCTATTTAGGAGTGAGGAGCCATGTGAAACAAAGAAATGAGTTATGTATCAAAGCCTGAAATGATAGTACTGCTTGAGTGCCCCAACTATAAAGTTGTTCAAGATAAAGGTAAAACTAAATTCAAGCATGTAAAAGCCAAATCCTACAGGCAACATGGCTTTGATTTATATACAGATTTAGAATACATGTTGCCCTTATTCCATGTTATTTTAACATGCTCTTAGGGCTAAAGATGCTTCAAATAAATGGATGAAGCAACAACAAATCATATGCAATTAAATTCACAAGATTCCGAAAGAATAAAGAAAACTGACCAATCCAGATGCTTCTCAAACAGTTCGAGATAAAATACAGCTTTTCCAGCATTTTATTAGAGGGTTCTGTTTGGAAACCCATCCATCCCTTACACGTTCTATCATATGCAGCTACCCAGAAGCACTTTTCCAGCTTACCCTGGAGAGCTTAGTCCTTTGTCCTTCAGAAGCTGCACAGAGCGTAAGGAATTGTGGTTGTACACATTTAAAACTCCATGAGGTTCATAAACATAAAATGTAAGAAACTAACCAATCAAGGTTGCCTTTCAAACTGTATTCGACAATGGCAACAGCTTTTCCAGCATGTTATTAGAAAGGATTCTGTTGGGATCCAATTCCCTACGTGCTTTGTTATATGCATCTACTGGAAAATGCTTTTTCAGCCTGGTTTGAAGAGCTTCAAGTTCATCTTTGTCCCTTGGAACCTGCACAAGATGTAAGGAATTATGGATGTTTAAAAAAAGAAAGAAACGAGATAAATTAGAAGTTTCTTTTTTCTTTCCGTTGCAAAATTAGAAGTTTACTCATCTCTGCATGAAATTAATCCAAGGTCAGTCAAATATGAAATAATGTGTCCAGTTTGACCTATTTTTTGAGCATAGAGATACAAGTGCAAGAAGTTTTGCTTTATCAGTAAACTGATGCTCAAGGAATAGTCCAAGAAACAAACATTGGCCACTCTATATCTCTATGAGAAATTTTGATCGTCAAGTTCAAGTCACATGAACAGAACAAGTACTGAAATTCTAGTTATTCGTTCATAATGGAGGTTTCATAATGCATAAACTTTGAAGAAATCTTAAGTAGAGTGCAGTCAGATGTGATGATCTTCTTCATGTCATCCACACACCATTGAGGACCTATTATCTGTATTTAACACTTAAACTGAAATAAAACTTAAACTAATTTAAAACAGAAAACTCTGCAATATGTAATCTGCACCTCAATCTTGGCCCAATGTTCGTAAGCAAAATATTTATTCCACAACTGTGATTGTGTCAGATGCCTATAGTGGAAAAATTCTTCGGTTATTTCCTTTCTCTGATGTGCATCCATTGTAGGAAGATACATTATTATACCAACCTGATAGAAGAAAGAAGGCAGCTTTAACCACAAGTACTACACATAATAACAACATTTTCTAAAGCAGGGTGACAAACAGTGGAAGCTTAGAGCTATGATTAATATTATTTAGCAGATAATAAGACTCAATTAATTCATTATATGCAGCAGAACCATAAATCTTATGCCTTATTGATCTGGAATGGAATACATAACACCAGGACATTTGTAAATGGTGTATAATAACAAAATAATAGTAGTTTGGTTTCAAACTGTGGCATCTATGGTTGTTGAAGATTCTCATTCTTTTCACCATTTAGAATAGTGGCTCCATGCTATGTAAGTTCAAAAACAATACTCATGCATTGAGCAGAAGTTCTCAAAATAGCTGCTAATTCTCAAACTATCATAGATGCATTTGAGTTGTCAAAGTTCCAAGTTGTTAAATCCAAGCAAAACATCCAAAGATTGTTGTTGTTGATGGTTTACATGTTATTGAACAAAAACTTGATTATAGTGCCTAACGAAGTGGTGAAGATCCAAGAAGAGGGCTGGACCAAGAAGGTATGATAAGACACATAACATGTAAATAAATAATGGTAGGGATGCATAAAAATCAGGCCATTATTGAAAAGTAAGGCTTGAAATTTGATTACACTTGGAACCCTAAATATCATCTAAAAGTTAATCTTCTAGAAGGGGCAGAGTTCTTAAATGGAATCCTAAAAAGAAAAGTGAAAAACCTAGAGATCAAAGAGAGAAGTAAATGACTGAAGTTAAAAGTAAAATTCTCTTGCCCTCTTCAAGTTAATTTTTGAAAATAAAAATAAAAATTAAAAAAAAAAAAATTAAAATTAAAATTAAAAAATAAAAAGGAAAGAGAAACCTCCAAAGTACCTAACAAAACATCTTCCTCTGTCATTTTGCAAAATCAAAGAAGAGAAAATAAAAGACAGAGTACGAAATAATGAAATGAAATGAAAGACAAACTTACCCATGAGAATATGTCATCCTCTGCTGGGCTTGAGGCTGGACTCATAAGGCTCTGACTACGAGCTGTCCAGCGCTGTTCTATAGGAGCAGGAGCAGGAGTATCTTCCTTCTCAATGAGTTTCTTCAGCTCTTCTGTGTATTCAAGATCTTTAATGCTCGGCCTGGAAAGAGTTCCAGCAGGAAAACAGGTCTCTGATACCCATTGTTGTCCACCACAATCAAAACCCAAGATTTCATCACTCCATCCTACTCGATATCCCTCTGATTTCTTCCAGAATTCAGCTTCCGCTTGGTTTACCTTTATGACATGGTCTTTGTTGAGAGGATCAAGAGCAAGAAGTTTATCTCTTAATTCTGTGAATGAAAGCTCATTTATCTCTGGTTCTTC